GAGAGGTCTTGAGGCAAGGCGCGTGGCCGAGACCTCCGAGAACTCAAGACGAACATGAATGCAACCTAGACATGTGAGCTAAGTATGCAATCATGAGCATGAAAGCAAGTAATGTGTACTAAGCACACAACCTAAACAAACAAACATGCAAGGCATGTAACAACATGTGCAAGCTAACAAGCATGCAATATGTAATGCGAACATGCAAACATGCAAGACACGTAACATGTTAAGGAACCAAGACAAAAGGAAGAAAACATGCTAAATGCAATGTGATTCAAGCATGCAACACATGCGATAGGCCAAGTATGCAACAACACACAAGGCGAGCATGCAACAACATGCAAAGGAGGGACTAACACCAAGATGGACAGCTCTCTACTAGGTCCAAAACAGTGGCCAAATGCTAAGGAAATGAAGGCCAAAACACATACAAACATGCATGCACACATGGCCCAACTCTTAAGCATACAAAAGCAACTTTTAAGCACACTTAAAAGAGGATAAACATGGACTAATGGCAAGCATAGCAAGCTCTGAAAATACATGAGGAATGATGCCAAATCAACCTATCAATGCAAGCAAGGCATGCAACTATGTCCAAAACTCAAGGTAAGCCAAGGGGCTTAAACCATAGCTATATGAAGCAAGTCCCAAAGGGCCAGGGGGACTCAAAACCACCCCAAGGCAGATCAAAACAAGGTCAAAGGAACACCTAGATGGCATCTAAATGGCCTAAGTCTAAAGGCATGCAAAAGGGTTCAAACATGGAGCATAAGATACCAACCTCTTGAAGCATTAAAGGAGCATTAAATGCAAGCATACAAGCATACCACAAGGACTGAAATGATGTTATAAGTGGTGCCAAACCACTGAAACAAGCCAAGTGATGCATGCTCAACACTCACACACCCAAGGCTAACAAGCCAAAATGTAAGATGGCTATGCAAATCGTGTCATGGATGGCCAAAACAACTCCAAACAGACCTTAAGCATACTAAGACATGCATAAAAGCTTCACAAAGCTAGGCCAAAAACATGCTAGAAAAAAGGCTCAAAGCACAAAGCATGTTAAGGCAATTCATGACATTACAAGACAAGTATGCAAAGAAAGCATGGTGTGTCTAAACCAACTGAAAAAAGTGCTATATCATGGCAAAATAAGTACAAATACTAGTTAAGACATGGCCAACATGAACTCAACAATGCTGCTCACACATGAGGCTAAAATGATAACTTTCGAAGACAACAAGGGGAGGGGATGGCCCTCTCCTTCTTAGGACCTCAAAGCACCATCCCCACCACTGAAATCCAAGGATTTCAGTGGTGAGGAGGCCCAAACAAGGTGGTCCCGGAGCTCACCAAAATAGCACAAAACGGGGGCCAAACAAGGCCTAAGAGGGGTCAAACAACCCCAAACACCAAAACAACCTGAAACAACTATTTTAAGAACTTAAAATAAAAACTTTTATATGTTATAAGTTAAGCTTAAAAATAGATGCAAGGATGGCTAAAAGCCTATGCAAAAATGGGGAATAAAGGGGTAAAGTTCTTACCCTTGAAGACCTTCTTCACAAGGACCACTCTAGCAGTCTCTCCAAGCTTAGATCAACTCAAGAACTCTGAAAATCACTCCTTAGTACCTCAGTAGCTAAAGGAAAGTGTAACTCTAGGTGTTTGTGTGCAAAACTATGAACAAAACACCTTAATACACACACAAAGAGCAAAAGAGATGGAGATATAGAGATAGATAGATACACAAGACCTAACCCTAATTCAGACCTCTGGAACTCTTTTTTGTAACCCTTGAGAAGCGAGGAAAAGGCCTCCCTTTATAGAGGATCACTCTTGCAAAGCTTACAAAACAAGCTAAGCAAGAGTGAAATCCCTCCATACACGTGTATGGAGGGGGTGCAAAGTGGGTGCCAGCTAGCACAGCTGGCACAAAATATCTACCAAAAGTCGATGCGCAGTGGTTGGCCAGCCAAAAATGCCAAATTGACCAAATAAATGGTCAACCGACCAAAGAGAGTGCCGACCGACCAAACATTTGGCCGATGGAAACAAAACAATGGCCGGTGACCTCAAGCCATGGCCGGTGAGATGTAGGGATGGCCAACAAGCCATTCCCTGCTCCTCAAAAGCAAAACACAAGTGTTTGGTGCAAAACCAAACACAAAACAGGCAAGTCAAGAGGTCTTGAGGCAAGGCGCGTGGCCGAGACCTCCAAGAACTCAAGACGAACACGAACATGGATAATCACTGAGTGTTCAAACGGTGACGTCGAAGTCTTTGGGACGGTCAAAAATGGGGTGTGTACAAGCATGTATTGCCATCCAAAAATGGAAGATGTTGGGTTCTATAGGTGAGTTTGACTTGCATCTTGGCGAGTCCCTTGAGTCGACTACCTTGTTTACTGTAGTTGCACAGCCTACACTTGTGAACCAAGTTATAGAAGCACAAAAGGGTGATCTTAAGGTAGAAACCCTCAGGGAGAAGATCTCTAGTGAGAAGGTAGAGAAGGGCTTGAACGTATATTTGACTCGAGTGTTAGATACCTTAACCGCTTTTCCGTGGCAAAGTCTTGTCGGGAGGAGGTACTCCAAGAGTTTCACTATTCACGCCTTGCGATGCACCCGGGATGTGATAACCCAACCCGTATTATGCTTAATTATGCATGTGATTATGTGTTTGATATGAAGTTGCATGTTTAAGTGTGTGAATAATGTGATTTTGGAATTATATTTGTCGAATGTAGGAATATCTGTTGCAATTACAACTTTGAACAAAAATTGAAAGCCTCAGAGGCGCCAGAAACTAAAACCGAATTCATATCTGTGTTCAGCATGATTTTTAGAGCCTACTGTGAAATCTTGTAAAATTATGATTTGTAATGATTAATTAATTGGCCCAATGTATATATGTATATAGCTTCTTTTCCTTATCACTTTTGTTGAGAGCTTGCTAGAGAGTGGGTTAGAGAGAGGAGAAGAGGAGAAGCTAGGGTTTTGGAAGAGATTCAAGGGGCAAACCCTAAATTTGAGCTAAGATATGGAAGTATACTTAGAATCTTTGTAATAACTCATCTTTTGCTTGAAATCAAGAGGAATTTGAAGATTTAACACTTATATGAGTTAGGGTTTGAGTTATGTAATGGTTAGAGCTAAATTCAAGAAATTGGACCGTAATCTCTTCAACTTTGTATGATTTGAGTTCAAGCTTGTGATTAATGCATGAAATAAACCCTAAATTGTCCATACAACAAGCATTTGTGTAAGGATCATCCATGTGTATATATATTTTTTGAAGTTAATCATGGGGTATTGTATATATATGGAAAAAGATGAGATTTGATTTTGAAATTGAAGCAAGATTGATTTGTTTGAATTGAAATTATTCTTGAATCATGTTAGTATATCAAGTTTTGAGTTAGTTTTGCATGAATTTGGACTTCAAAATGAGTTTGGGAACTTGGCATCAAAACTCCACTTTTGGACTATCTAAAACTGCTCAGACCGCTCGTACGACTACGATATAGTGATCCGGGCATAGACCCGACCTATTTATTGCTTTTGAATCCTAGAAACCATACCCATGGCGGTCGTTCTTTTTTCTTTATGTTTGGTTTTGAATTTAGGGGTCGACACCATCATTGTTGGTGTCGACACTTTTCTTTGTCTTGTTCTACTCCAAGGGTCGACACCAACTTTGGAGGTGTCGACACCATCTTGCTACTGTATTCCTAGATCACTACTGAAATTTAGGGTCGACACTAACCTTTGGTGGTGTCGACATTTGCCTTTTCTTGTTGGCCTCAAGAGTCGACACCAGTCTGGGAAGAGTCGACCCTTATCTACTGCAGAATCTGGATTTAGTTGCTGAAATTTAGTGTCGACACCTTGTCTACTGCCAGCATTGTCTTTTTTGTCAATTCTTCCTGAAGGGATGACACCACTGACATAAGGGTCGACACCTGTGAATTTTTTTTCATATTTTAGTTCGGTTTTGGGCCCTACTTCATAGGGATTTTGACTTGTTCTTTTGGGTTAACTTTGAGACTTTATTTCACTTTAACCTAGAACTATAAATAGGGCTCTCACTTACCCTTTTCTTCACTTTATCTTCTATTTCCCCTCTCTAAACCGTGAGTCACTCCTCTCTCTCTCTGTAAACTCACTTTTTCGCTAAAAAATCTTCATATCTACTTACTTAGAAGAATCTCCTCACCTTACTCCTTTGAGATTAAGTATAGAGCTTGTCGAGGGCTTCATTTTGATCGGAGTAAATCGTTGTTTTGTCACCTTCAATGTAACATTGTGTCATGTCTACACGGATTTGTTCTTCCTAGTGAGTCACCCATCCTAGAACTACTCCAGTCTAAGCATGCTTAACTGCATAGTTCTGCTAGGGATTTCACCACTCGAGAAAAGGCCTCGATGCTATATAAGGGTCCAGGTTTTTACTTTCATAGCCTAGAAACTCCCCTTCTAATCCCGATGTGGGACACCGGGACCTTACAATCCACCCACTTAGGGCTGCACGTCCCCGTGTAATTGCCTGCCAGCTTACAAGCCCGCTCATATGCACCGAGAGACGCTAGGGGTCCACGCTCGGTACTCCAAAGAGTCAGCTCTTATACCATTTTTTAACGCCCTAACCCTTTACATGTCATCGATATTGTCCGCTTTGGGCCACGCCCACACGGATTTGTTCTTCCCAATGGGTCACCTATCCCAGAACTACTCCAGCCTAAGCATGCTAAACTGAGGAGTTCTGCTAGGGATTTCACCACCCGAGAAAAGGCTTCAATGTTATATAAGGGTCCAGGTTTTTACTTTTATAGCCCAGGAGCTCCTCTCCATTCCGGATGTGGGATACCGGGACCTTATAATAAAAAATTTGGACCATTTCTCGATTTGTGCATGTCATCCTTTCGCAGGGGACTTGTTAATCTTCTTTGTATCATTCCAATTTTACTGTAAGGTCCCGTTGTCCTACATCGGTAATGGAGGGGGAGTTCCTGGGCTATAAAAGTAAAAACCTAGATCCTTATATAACATCGAGGCCTTTTCTCGGGCGGTGAAATCCCTAGCAGAACTCTCCAGTTAAGCGTACTTAGGCTGGAGTAGTTTTGGAATGGGTGATCCACTGGGAAGAACAAATCTGTGCGGGCGTGGCCCAAAGCAGACAATATCGATTAAATGTGAAGGCTTGAGGTGTTACAAATGGTATCAGAGCTGACTCTCTAGAGAACTGAGTGTGGGCCCCTGGTGCCTCTCGGTGCATGTGGGTGGGCTTGTGAGCTGGTAGGCTACTACACGGGGACATACAACCCTAAGGGGGGTGGATTGTAAGGTCCTGATGTCTTACATCGGGAATAGAGGGAGATTTTTTTGGCTATAAAAGAAAAAACCTGGACCCTTATATAGCATCGAGGCCTTTTCCCGGGTGGTGAAATCCCTAGAAAAACTACATAGTTAAGTGTGCTTAGCCTGGAGTAATTCTAGGATGGGTAACCCACTGGGAAGAACAAATTCATGTGGGTGTGGCCTAAAGCAGACAATATCGATGACATGTAAAGAGTTAGGATATTACAAATGGTACCAGAGCCGACTCTCCAGAGTACCGAGTGTGGGCCCCTAGTGTCTCTCTGTGCATATAGGTGGGCTTGTGACCTGGCAGGCTACTGCACAAGGACGTGCAGTCCAAGGGGGTGGATTGTAAGGTCCTGGTGTCCTGCATTGGGAATGGAGAGGGAGTTCCTGGGCTATAAAAGTAAAAATCTGTACCCTCATATAGTATCGAGGCCTTTTCTCAGGTAGTGAAATCCCTAGTAGAACTCCCCAGTTAAGCGTGCTTAGGTTGGAGTAGTTCTAGGATGGGTGACCCACTGGGAAGAACAAATCCGTGTAGGGTGGCCCAAAGTGGATAATATCGATGACATATGAAAGGTTGGGGCGTTACAGTCAACCTTTGGGCTTTTCTTCCTTCTTCTTCTTCTAAGTTTGAGGTAGGGATTCTCTACACTCTTTTATGATTTTTAACTTGGCTATTTGTTTTTATAAAACAATCTTGTGATTTTAGAGGATTTTGAACAAACTTAGGGTTTTGGTTTAAAATCAAAAGAGAGGTTTTGAAATGGATGTATTAAAAATGATTGTGGGAGTGAAAATGAGGTTAAGTTGTGATAAAATTATTGATTTTGATACTTGGAGTGGATTTTGAAAGAAAAAATGGGTTTTGCCCTAAATGTCTCAAATGTTTAATTTGTATAAATAAATGGGATTGATGTAGGAAATGTGAAATTGGACGGATATTGTTATGGATGGTTGAGTTAGATATGTACTATCACTCACATCTTGAAGTTTGGAAATCTTATCTGTATTAGAGATTTTATATCTGTTTAGAAATATGTATTTTGGGATATCGGTGGAGGATAGCTATAATTGTTATAGAAATTGCACGAGGATTAGGCCAATTGAAACTAATTTCTCATCCATGTGCATTGAACATTTAATACATTGCAAATGTATATGATTTTGAGAAAAATGGGTGAACGTGGAAAAGAGGTGTGTATCACCAAATCAAGTTGGCATGTGTGTCTGGGGTGAAAGTCCCGAAAAACGTGCGTGCACATGGGTATCAATTCCTGCGGATGAAATATCCATAAAATGGCAAGAGTAGCGCTTGTATAGGCTATGTTTACATGGGTGCCGTTTGACAGTTTCCCGCAGAAGAAATATTCGTGAAAGTTTATACCAGTTTTAGAATTGCCCCATTGTTTTCTATTGTAAAGGACACATGATTTGAGAATTGTGATATAAACTGAGTGTTATGTAATGGAAGGATATTATACTCTGATTTATATTGTTATTTACTTTTCGTCATGGTTGGTTTATTGTATTTATTTCGGGGCTTTACAACTTGGTATTAGAGCATATCGGGTTTGAATACTTTGGGTTCGTGAGAAGTGGTTATTACCACAATGGGTTTGCTTCGCTTGATAGAGATATTTGTATATATGGTATGCTTATGTAATAACATGCTTAGGTGGTTATATAGGTATAGGATTTAACTCTTGAGATATTGATTAGGTCTACGAGTTTTTAGAAGTTCTATTAGAAGAGCACATGATCACTACTGTTTGTAATTGGAACTCTAGCAATGCCGCGGGACGGTCATTATCCAGGAAGAAAATTCATATGTGTTTATGTGAATACGTGCTTATGTGGTGTGAATTAATGTTGTCCACCGCATTAGGACGCAAGTGAGTTAGCTTCGGCACATTTGTAAATATGCTAATCTCTTTTGTTACCTTTATTAGGATGTCATGACGCAGTCGTGGTGGGAGGTGTGGTAGGCCTAGACAGTAGGAGGTGCCGATACTAGATGATATTTCGACATAAGATGAGGGAGTTGGTCAGGCCACTGTAGCCGAGCTGACAGGTTAGTAGGCCATCAGCGCCTTAGCCGCAAATTGACCAGACCATCGTAAGAATCTATGGACATTCTCAAGGCTGAGAATTAGGTCCAGGCGCAAGTGACTGAGGCAAGGCCATCATTCTTGAAAAGAGAGTTCTTTCAATCCAACCCGAACGAGTTTTTGGGCGATCCTAAAGAGCCTTTGCAAGTGAATGAATGGCTCGAACAGATGGTGAAGACATTTCAGATGCTCAGCATCAAAGACGATGGATTGAGGGTGACCTTGGCATCCTTCCAATTGAAGGGAGATGCCGGTCAATGGTGGAAGTATGCACATGGGCGAATTAGGATGACTTGGAAGGCTTTTGTCGACGCCTTCCAGTATAAGTTTTTACCCCCCACTGTTAGGGAGAAGTGAACAGACCAATTTTCTAAGCTCAAGCAGTTGAGCACACCGATGGCCGAGTTTGAGGTCGCATTCACTAGTCTGTCGAGGTTTGCACCGGAACTCGTGGCGACTGAGGAGCGCCGTTGTTTAGAGTTCAAGAGGTTGAGGACTAAGCTCATGTTCAAAGTGGCCGGGTCAATGATTAGAGATTATGAACGACTTGTGGAGGTGGGAGCTCATCTTAAGACCGTGATGTAGATGGAGGAAGAACAAATTTAAATAGGGTCCTTACTTACCCTTTTCTTCACTTTATCTTCTTTTTCCCCTCTCTAAATCGTGAGTCACTCCTCTCTCTATCTAAACTCACTTTTCTACTAAAAGATCTTCTCACTTAGAAGTATCTCCTCACCTTGCTCTTTTGAGATTAAGTGTAAAGCTTGTCGATGGCTTCGTTTTGATTGGAGCAAATCGTTGTTTCGTCACCGTCAACTTTTGGGTTTTTCTTCCTTCTTCCTCTTCTGCGTTTAAGGTAGGAATTCTCTACACTCTTTTATGATTTTTAAACTTAGCTATTTCTTTTATAAAATAATCTTGTGATTTTGGAGAATTTTGAACAAACCTAGGGTCTTGGTTTAAAATCAAAAGAGGGGTTTTGAAATGGATGTATTGAAACTGATTGTGGGAGTGGAAATGAGATTGAGTTGTGACAAAATTATTGATTTCGATACTTGGAGCGGATTTTGGAAGAAAAAAGGGTTTTGTCCTAAATGTCTCAAATGTTTAATTTGTATAAATAAATGGGATTGATGTAGGAAATGTGAAATTGGATGGATATTGTTATAGATGGTGGAATTGGATATGTACTATCACTCACATCTTGAAGTTTGGAAAGTTTATCTATATTAGAGATTTTATATCTGTTTAAAAATATCTGTTTTGGGCTATCGGTGGAGGATAGCTATGATTGTTATAGAAACTGCATGAGGATTAGGTGAATTGAAACTAATTTCTCATCCATGTGCATTGAACATTGTTGCTCATTTAATACATTACAAATGTATATGATTTTAAGAAAAATGGGTGAATGTGGAAAAGAGGTGTGTATCACCAAATCAAGTTGGCATGTGTGTCCAAGGTGAAAGTCTTGAAAAACGTGCGTATACATGGGTGCCGATTCCCACAAATGAAATATCTGTAAAATGGCAAGAGTAGCACTTGATAGGCTACGTTTACATGGGTTCCATTTGACGGTTTACCGCGAACGAAATATCCGTGAAAAGTTATACCAGTTTTAGAATTGCCCCCATTGTTTTCTATTATAAAGGACATGATTTGAGAATTGTGATATAAACTAAGTATTATGTAATTGAAGGATATTATACTCTGATTTATATTGTTATTTACTTATCGTCATGGTTGGTTTGTATTATCACTCACAAAAATGTATCACGACCTTAGTTGCCAGTTTTTGGAAGGAGATGAAGAAGAATGTGGTTGTGTTTGTGTTAAGCTACCTTACTTCTCAACAAGTAAAGGCCGAGCAGCAAAGGCCAACGGGTTTGTTGCAACCCTTGCCTATTGCCAAGTGGAAGTGGGAGCATGTCATGATGGATTTTGTTGTGGGTCTTTGTAGACCGCCCGAACTCGCTCTGCGCGTCCCCCTTTTTGGAGAGGGCGCGAATTGTAGTTCTAACTACTACAGTTCGGACTCCTGTCACGGTTCTGAATCTAATCTCACAAAGTGCAATGCAAGACCGATAAATCACTAAAGAGTCCAAATCCGGCAAATCGTTTTGCAAAATCGATTTTTATCAAAAAACGCCAAACATGGACTACTTTGCCAGATTTCAGAGTCGCCACCTAAATATTTTGTTTTTGGGAAATTTAGAAAACCCTGACTCGTGCCTAAGGCCACGTGTCCGTCATCACCAAAGTTGCCTCGGCTCGGGAACTTGGGTACAAGAGGGGAAGGTCTTGAAATGAGCACCCCCGCTCGCCCGACAAAGATCGGCCTCTACTAACATGATATGTTGTTTTTGAAAACACATGCGTTCTTATTCCGGTTTATTAACTAACCTTACTATGTGATGCGCACAACATACAAGTATGGACTTAATCGCAAGAATTGGAACAAAACATCTCATGTTTGTTTTCGAAAATGGTTTGAAAGTGCTACTCGCAAGTA